TCGGAAGAAACTCTGGACCTGAACACTGATAAGTCTGAAGTCGAGCCCTGCCGTTGTTTAGCCCTCTGCCAACTACTAGCCTCTGGACCCAACCTGGTTCCCTCCCTCTGCTGCAAGCCTGAATCACGACACAGGTACAAACCTGCTCAATTCCTCTGACAAGATCAACCGCATCCTGGCTAACCAAACTGTCCCTCTCTACAGAGAACCCTGTGTGACCAGTCCCGGATCTGTTTCACAGCATCTGTACATTAACATTGTCTTTGTTTGAAATAAACAGTTAAACTTTTCGTCTGACTCCGTGTGTGTTCTGCATATGGGTTAGGAACCTAATCCAATCATGACAAGAAGTATTTTTTCTTTTTTTTTTTTTACTTTAGAAACTCAGAAGCTGATCAAATATCGGGTTAAATATCGGTGGGGTGGCCGATGTCCGATATTCAGTTTTAAGGCCGATACCGATAGGGGGCCGATTATATCGTGCATCCCTAATTATAAATAGCAGTCAGTTTTAAGCTTCAGTGGCACTCAGAGGGTTTTCATCTTTTAGATCAGAAGTCTGTCAGCTTGGTTTTATGGCTGGATTCATATACTAAATGATTTTACCCTGATTCATCTCGATTTCTTTGTTATTCTATGGTTCTTTTCTTCCAAATGAAAAAAAACATAGAAAAACAAGGTCCTACCCTGGTAAATTTGGTCTAGAACTGCTGCTGATAATTTGTTTTATTAGTTAGAAGAAAAGGAGGATGTTCCCATAGAAGGTCATAGAATCTCTCTGCTTCAGCAGCTTCTAATCCAAAAATCATCATATCAGGCCTAATCTGCCTGGATTACGGCCCTGAGGCAGTTTTCCAGTCAACACTCCCTCCCCTCCCTTTTCGTCCGCAGTGGAGCAGGCAAGAATGTGCAGAAATCTGAGGAACAAAAGCCGCTCTTTGTTTTCAGGCATCACAGCCGAAGTGGCAGCTAGCGTGAATAAGGGTCAAAGGTCACTGGCTGATTCAGAGCCTGTTTAAAAGCCTCACAGAGACGGGAGCGGCGGACGCAGTACAAGGTGTCCTCGCAGAGCAGCGGGGGAAACCGTCTTAAAGATACATTTGTCTTTGGTGCAAACGTTTCCGCCTGCTTTGTTTCTGCAAAAGTTTCTGCAAAAACGTTCTGAAAGTGAGAGTTTCACCAAACGCAGTGAAAGCTTTCACAATCACGTTTTTCTCACAACATAAAGCATTGGCTTCAGCCGAGCCATGGAGGGGGGGGGGGGGTAGTTGCCACTCCGTATTAAAGCTGTGAATCTGATGCTGCTGGTGTGGAATGCTCCCCAGGCTGCGTTTGTGTTGCATTCTTGGTGAAAGCACCATAGTGATGGAGTGTGGGCGCCTTGCACGACTTCCAGCGTGTCTCAGAGTCTCTGCTGAGGAAACCGAAGGAGCAGGTGGAATGCGGCTGATAAGAATAAATCAATAACTAGATGACAGGCGGCGGGTTATTAAGCGTCAGGGTGGAGCAGGTGTGCATGGCAGGGTTTGTAATTTACCATCAGTGGGTTTTTTTTATTATAAGAAATGAAATCGGCACAAAGGAGAAGCACTTGTCTGCTTTGAGTCACCGCTATGATGCAATATTTGCATTTCTATAAGCGGGGATTTTTAGAAAAAAAACTACTGTTCGCTTTCAGTTTCGGGTCTAATATCTGATCCAGTCGGGCCGCTGCTCTAGTTTTAGGTTCCTTTCACACCTTTCTTTGTTGTTTTTTCTTCTTCAGTGAGTGAACTCTTTTGATTCCACACCTTGGCACAGGCAGAAACCACATCCTCCAGCTGAACAGGGAGGTTACAGCTATTGCCACCCAGTATTTGGCTATTTTGATTTTGAGAATAAAGTCGGAATATTACGAGAATAAAGTCATCATAAAACAACCTGTTTCAGAAAGAAAGCATCCGAGCAGCTCCACCAATCAGCAACCAGAGTCCACTTTGACATCCTGCCCAGTTTGATGCTGCTGCTAAAAGATTTCCTGATTTATCAAACTGATGCTGAAGTAGAACTTCACATGATGCTCCACATTCCTCATTTTAAGGAAGAAACAGCTTCTTGGAAGAGCTGTCATGAAATACAACTTGTTTCTCCTCGTTTTAGGACTTTATTCTCTTAATATTACGACTTTATTCTCGGATTTTATCACTATTCTCTTTCGACTTTATTCTCGTAATGTTAAAGCTTTATTCTGGAAATAGAAGCAAAATAAAATCTCCAGCATGACCCTAATACTCTGTGGTAAACTATAGAGCTCCCTGCCTGTAAGATTTTACACATTTAACATTTTGGGGTGCTGTTATCAGTCAGAGGGGTCAAAAACAACACCTTTAAAAAAACGTCATTCCTACTGCAGCTAATTTTATTTACAAGTGGGAAAAAATACGGAATAAAGACAAACGGTGTTAAGTAATTATATACTTACTAGGGATGCACGATATAATCGGCCCCCTATCGGTATCGGCCTTAAAACTGAATATGGGACATCGGCCACCCCACCGATATTTAACCCGATATTTGATCAGCTTCTGAGTTTCTAAAGTCTAAAAAAAAAAAATAAATACTACTTCTTCTTCTTCCTCTAAAACTTCTTTTTTACAGACTTAAAAACTTCTAAAGACGAGGGGAAAAATATTGATCCATTAAAATATCCCAATATCTTCCTATGCTGATATATTGCCATTTAAAAACACCATATCAATCTCTTTTACTAATGAAATATTGCTATATGTCATCGTTATGCTACGAAATCCCCCGAAAATTCACCAAATGCGCCATATTTTTATATGTTGATATATTGACGCGGTATCGATCTATTTTACTAACAAAATCTCACAAGAATTTGCAAAATATCACGAGAGTTTGTAACAGAACCATGACATTTCACGAGATTTTGAAAGTAAAATAGATCGATACCGCGTTTTTAAAAATCAATTTGATATCAGCATATGAAAATATATTTGAGTTTATTATTTTTCAAAGTGTCAGAAATGGATAACAAAACTGCTATTTTCAATGACTACTTATTTTTGTCCAGCTTTAACATCGGTATCGATATCGGTTATCGGCTACATGAGTTTTAAAATATCGGATATCGGATATCGGCCAAAATCCCGATATCGTGCATCCCTAATACTTACCGTGTGAAATATTAATGTCTTTCTTCTCATTAAATGCATAATTATCTTGCTGATAAGTTGTGCTAAAGTGGCACCAAAGATGCTGCTCATCTCCTTTCTGGAAGTGACACCCTTCACCCAAAGATAGGTTAAAGGGCGACAGCATTTCTTTCACTTTTAAATGACTTTAAAGAGCAGAAACATTTGAGCAGATGTGTCTTTTAAAATCAACTTCTACCTAATTAACAGCAATAGGCTGAATAAATACAGCCTTATATAGAGAAAACACCTTCAGAGCTTTAGATAGTCGCCGGAACTTATAAAGTTATGCTGTGTTTTTAGAAATAATCATAAAAGATTTCATCATATTTCTGACACTACCGACAGATGCAAACGTGCAGCAAAAAAATAAAAAAATAAGTGAGCTGCAAAGGCAAAAAAAAACAAATGCTACAGAAAAAAATGCAGCAATCACTAAAGATAGAAGCAAAAACAATTAATGCAAATCCAAACAAAAAAGGTGCAACCACAGAAAGAAAGAGATGCAAATAGTAAAAACGACAGCAAACGTGTTCCGTACAAACAGGAAGTTAAGCTTTAAAGCAGGATTTTAAACACATCATCTCACAGTATTACAGATTAACAGCATAGTTATGTATATTAATATAAGTAGGACTATGATGCAACATGGTTCGTTCTTTGTTCAGCTCCCTTTAGTGGTGTGGCGCAATTTTTTGGAGTGATTTTGCGCAGGTTTTTATCATTTGATCGTTTTTATTTCAGCTTCATGCATATATATATATATATATATATATATATATATATATATATATATATATATATATATATATATATAAATATATATTTGTTTTCTTGTTTGTAGGTTTTTTTGCTTCTATTATCAGTGATTTCAGCAATTTCTTTGCAGCGTTTTTCTTTTTGCATTTTTTTTCTGTGTTTGTGTGTTTTTGCAAAACATTACCTATTCTTACTCATGTGCAATATTCCTCTCTCTAACTGTGCAATAACTCATGCTAACTACTGTGTAGCCTGTATAATTTTTACTTATGTATAAGGTCAGTCCATCTCTGCAGTAGAAGTGCAATAATCCAAGTCAACTACTCCATAGCCTCCCCTTAGCTCTCTACTGTGCAGATATTTGATCTCTAAGGAAAACATATTCCAGGACATTAAAACTTTTCTTATTTTCATGCTTTTTTTCTCCTATATACAGTCTTTTTATATTGTCTGTCATATTTTATATTTATTTTTAATGACATCTTGCTTTAACCCTTTGGACTGTATATAAGTTATTGGAACCAGAGTTTCCCTGAAGGAGGAATCCCCAGGGATAAATAAACTTGAATCGCATGCTTTTGCAGCTCGTTTCATTGTTTGCTGCCTGTTTGTACTTGCCGGCCACCGTAGGTAACCCACCTGCTGCTGCGCACAGCTGGTCAGCTGACTGAAAGGCTTCACACTTTGCAACAGCAGTAGGATGGAACAGCAGCTCTGACTGCTGCTAAGGTGAGGCTGTGGAGCAGCTGACCTCAGACCAGCTACACTGACAGACAGGTTCAAACTAAACTGTTACTAAGTTATTATTATTTCCTTCTATGAATACTTCAAGAAAAATAAATAAAATAGAATATCATAGCTATTGTAGTCTATGGGTTTCTTATCTAGTAGTTGTTTTAATTGATAAAAGCTTCTCTTTATTTTTATTTTATACAAAATAAATGTAAATATTTTCGTCCAGGCGATAATAATTATAATAAGTGTAATAAAGTCAAGTTTAAAGCAGATTTCCAGCTGAAAGCTCAGAGCTTCATTGAACAGACTCACCCCTGCTGCGTTTTTCTTTGTGCTTCACCTGAACGTCTGAAGCTCCGAGGATCCAGGTGAGTTTTTCCACGTCCACGGATCCGAACCCAACGAGTCCGAGGAGGCCGGAAGTGGACCGGAACACGCCGCGCGCGGCCTAAGCTTCTTCAAAAGAGGAGCCGAATTTACGTATTTCACAGAAAGGAAGGAGAGTAATTCCTTCTCACCTGCTAATTAGCATACATGCACGTTTTATGAAGTTTCCTAAGAAAGAGATAAAAATAAAAAGTTGGAAGAGAATTAAAAAGTCAGGAAGGAGCGCGGCTGGGAAGCGTCTAATTTAAAGCGTCTCGAGCGTTAAGGCTACGAGGACCACAGAGATCAGAGGCGCTCAAAGCGGCAGACCTGCCAATCAAAGCGAACCTGATGAGGAAAGACTACTTTCTTTATACCTTTCAAAATAAAAGCCTGGTGTCGGAGTACAGCGAATTAAGGCGCGTGTCTGGAAGCTGCTTCCAGGACAGAGTTGATTCCTTTATTAACCAGTAGTTAAAAAGGCTTAAATGGAGGTTATTAAGTTAATTTATATATATATATATTGACACACATCAATAATTTAAAGGAAATTATACATGGATTAAAATACATATAGTCAAATTTCATAAAAAACAATACATTTCTATTATTAAATCAAATCAGGGAAAAAAATTCTTTTTTCAACAAAGCATATTAATATAAGGATTTTTTTTATTTTGTTTTTTCACCTTGTAAAAAGTCAAAAAACAAATCTGGGCTGTTGGTGTCATAGTCAGAGAATAGTGGCTGGTAAAGTAAACCATTTCTTTGTAGAATTTCATAAATTGTTTACATTTTCCTTTCCCAAAGGTGTTGATTTATAAATATAAACAAAACAAATTACAGAAGACAAAACAAATACAAATACATAATTAAGGGGGAAAAAAAAACTTTACCAAAAATTTCGAGAGGACATTTTAATATGTCAATCAATCACGTTCTGTATTCCTATCTATTCCAAAGATGAAAATTATTACAGTTAAAATTCCAGAGCAGTTACTTATGGAGTGTTTCCTACATGTAATTAGTAGAAGTGCTGCACAGTGGAACAGGTGGTAACACCCATGGGTCTGGGGTGGGAAATACTCAATTGCAATGCCAGGTTCTTTCTGCAGGGAGTTTGCATGTTTTCACTGAGCATGCATGGGTTTTCCCTGGGTACTCCTGGTTCCTCCCACAGTCCTAAAACTTCGATGGTAGGTTGATTGCTGACTTCACCTTACTAACAGGCAGAGATAGGAAGTAACGAAGTACAAATACTTTGTATGTACTCAAGTAGATTTTTCTGATATTTTTACTTTACTTTACTACTTATTTTTATGGCGACTTTTTACTTTCTACTCCTTACATTTTAAAAAATTGGCTCGTTACTTTAGTTTTGAATCATTTCAATGGAGTTACCGTTATTATTTTTCACGTCATCAATACCAAATTCCAGAGATGGCAAAAGTACTCACTTTCCGTACTTGAGTAAAAGTACAGATACTTGTGTTAAAAAATACTCTGGTAAAAGTGGAAGTACTGATTAAACTTCTTTACTCAAGTAAAAGTAACAAAGTAACAGGCTTGTAAATTTACTTAAAGTATAAAAGTAAAAGTAGAAACCACTTTTTTCATGCCGTTGCCTACATTTTAAATGGATGTCTGCCAATAGGACTAGATCTCCGTTGTGTTCATTTTCAATCATCTCGTCGTCCATGCTACTATGCTAACGCCACCGCCACCAAGCTGCAATGATTTGCCGCCAATGAATACCGCCGAATCTGTCCATTCATCTTGTAGTGGTGCGTCAAATGCAACGTAGATTCCCATCCAATTAGATTGAATTTGGTATTGATGACGTGAAAAATAATAACGGTAACTCCATTGAAATTATTCAAAACTAAAGTAACGAGCCAATTTTTAAAAATGTAAGGAGTAGAAGTAAAAAGTCGCTATAAAAATAAGTAGTAAAGTAAAGTAAAAATATCAGAAAAATCTACTTGAGTACAGTAACGAAGTATTTGTACTTCGTTACTTCCCATCTCTGCCAAATTCAATCTAATTGGCAGAGATGGTAAGTACCTGGTATTAGTCTGAAAACCATTTTAATTTTAAACTCAGTATAAATAGAACAAAACCATAAATGTTTTAACTGACAGTCGCTCAAAGAGAACGGCCAAAACTTGTTTAACCTAAACTATGATATACTTCTATGTTTAAACATAAATTCTTTGTTCCGTTTTGACTAACAGGAAGCAAACACTTATCTTTCAATCATGTTAATATCAAAACTGTCACCTTATTTAAGTTACAATAAGTCTAATTCCTATTTTTCTGGGCTGACAAATTTGGGCTCTTATTTTTGCAAAGAACAATCCTTATTTCCGGTTAATGCTGCACACTTGTATGTTAGCAGTCAGGTATGATTCAGACAGGCTTATGACTGGATGTTTGAGCAGAGAAAGGGTCTGTGTGTTACTGGCTGGGGTGTAATGAGTCAGACTAACCCCCCCCAACCCCAGCAGCATCACCTGCTTTTCACTTCTTACTTTCTATTTAATTTTCTAAACGATCCAGTCATTTCTTTATTGCATTAGGTTGTGGTATCACACCCTCTAATCTGTTTTACTGGATTTCCATGGATTTTAAATCACTCTTTGTGACCCTGGAGATCTTCAGCAGAGGTCAGAGGTCAAATGGAAATGCTGCTCCAGTGGTGTTCAAATACTCATTTGGGGCTCTCCTAAGGGACATGTCAGCTCTCTGTATGAAAATGAATTCATGCCATGCTTATAAATAAGCAGAGAATATAAAGCAGATTTTAATGGTTGCTTAAGAACAAAGGTGAAAGCTGAAGCAATACACCAGCCGCTCTCTAAGAAAAGACTTAACATCTAAGATTGCTGCTTATCTTTGCCTTTTGATTTAATGAAAACTAGTGGAATTATGTTTTTAGTTAAAGTGGGTGTGATTATATGGTGGGAAAAGGCGGCTAAAGTCATGTGCAATTGTTTTCTTACTCTGAACATTTTGGAGGAAAACTGTTTCTGATCTGAGCTTCGCTGAGAACACAAAGAGGAATGCGATGTGAATTCTGCTCCTTCGGAAATATGTGCATTTTTATGAAGACGGGGATCTGTTTTTTATTTTTATTTTATTTTTTTTAACCCCCGAGGCGACTCATAGAAGAATTCTTTCTCTTTCATTTTGCTATGCGGTATAGATTACATGCTGTTACTGGAGTGAAAATGTGCAAAATAGGATGGGAGGAAAAAGCATGGAGAGAAAATGTTTTAGCAAACTTTGCTCCAAGCTGATTTTGTATTTTTCCATGAATGCTTTTGATCTGCCTGCACCAGCAGGTGCTGTTCCTTGATTATTACATTCTTTATCGAAAGAGGGGAGCGAGAGGAGAGAAGAGGGAAGTGGGTCTCGTTAGCACCTGGCTGCTCTCCTGACTGCCGTTCAACAGTCGACCTGAGTGGTTCCTGTCTGTGTTTATCTGCAGGGAAGGGCATGTTGGCTGAAAGGCAGAGAGCAATAAAACTCCAACCGCCTGCATGATGACAGGTGGGCTGAGAGTCACGTTCACAACCAGAAACAAACTACAAAGAAATGGAAGAACCCAAAAAGAAAAAGCTCAATAAATGTTTGATTGATGAACCCAAACAGGCGAATCATCATGAGGGGAAATTACAATGTTTTTAGAAATTTAAATATTGGCGTTAGAATATGCATTTATTCTTCTTTCATCTGAAACCTACAAATGCAGGTAATTAGTAAATAGATTGGATAATAATCCACTGAAAGGAGAATTAGATTTTATTTTACAAAGCTATTGTTAAAAAGACAATCTTAAGATGTTTGTCCACAACCAACAAGAGAAAGAAGATTCTTCAATCAAAGAAGACCAAAACTACTTTTTTCTTTCTATTTGTTTTCATATTGACAAGTTAACTCATGTTTAATTAATACTAGGGATGCACGATATTTGGATTTTGGCCGATATCCGATATTTTAAAACTCATGTAGCCGATAACCGATATCGATACCGATGTTAAAGCTGGACAAAAATAAGTAGTCATTGAAAATAGCAGTTTTGTTATCCATTTCTGACACTTTGAAAAATAATAAACTCAAATATATTTTCATATGCTGATATCAAATAGATTTTTAAAAACGCGGTATCGATCTATTTTACTTTCAAAATCTGGTGAAATTTCATGGTTCTGTTACAAACTCTCGTGATATTTTGCAAATTCTTGTGAGATTTTGTTAGTAAAATAGATCGATACCGCGTCAATATATCAACATATAAAAATATGGCAAAATTTCGTGAATTTTCGGGGGATTTCGTAGCATAACGATGACATATAGCAATATTTCATTAGTAAAAGAGATTGATACAGTGTTTTTAAATGGCAATATATCAGCATATGAAGATATTGGGATATTTTAATGCATCAATATTTTTTCCCTCGTCTTTAGAAGTTTTTAAGTCTGTAAAAAAGAAGTTTTTTAGGAAGAAGAAGTAGTATTTTATTTTTTTTTTAAGACTTTAGAAACTCAGAAGCTGATCAAATATCGGGTTAAATATCGGTGGGGTGGCCCATGTCCGATATCCAGTTTTAAGGCCGATACGGATAGGGGGCCGATTATATCGTGCATCCCTAATTAATACATTAAATACATTTCGGATTAAATGCAATGAAAGGCAGAGATTGCTCATTCAGAACAACAGAAAGCTTAAACAACTGGTAAAAGGCTTTTAGGGAGAAAAGCTCTGAATCTGGGAATGAACCCTTAGAGCAGACGTCACCAATTAAAAATCAATGAGGTCCAAATAAGGAAAAACAACAATTAGTAAAGCTATGGAGATAATTTTATTTATCATCCGTTTCTTTAAACAGCATTTAACACTGAGATAAAATACAGGTGTTCATACATCCATGTTAAATAAAAAATATGAAAATTTTAAAATCTAAAGTGCTTTTTTTAAGTAGTGAACAACAATCTTTTAGTTTGGTCTAAAAGTAGCAGCAGCAGCAGCCCAGACTGACAGCTCATTGGCTCATTTGGATCACGCGCAGCCTGGAGCCGGACGCTCCCCAGGGCTTTACCGTATTAACAGGAGAAGAGGAGCAAGTGAAGTTAGACAATGTCGTCGGACAACGTGCCTTAATTTATAAATGTTTTAAATCAGGTTGAATTATCCAGCAGGTGGGTCAGGATCCAGACCGCGGTCTGCTAATCTGTGATCTCTGCCTTATATGAATCTAAAATCTGTAGTTTAAATTTCTTTTTACCTTAAATGTCACAACTAATTTTCATCAAAAAATTATTTGTCTTCCAAAAATAAT